GGGCCCGGGACGAGTTCGAGGGTCTCTTCTGCTTGGCCGCCCAGACCATCAACGGCTGCCAGCGGTGAGGCCTCCGCCGGGCAGGGGTGTCCAGGGCCCCCTCCGGCCTCGGGCTCCGCCTCAGACCCCCCCCCCCCCGCAGGGCCCCGGCCTCGCCGGCAGGCCCCGACCCCACGGGGCCAGGGGAGCCGGCCCTGGCGAGGACGGTGGGCGTCCTGGAAGGACGGCCACGGAGCTGGCGGGACTGCGTGGCCTGGGCCCGCGGCCACTGGCAGCTGAGCTTCGGCCACGGCGTGGCGCGGCTGCTCGGGCGCCACCCCCCGGACGAGGTGGGTGCCGGGGCCCGGGGCGGCGGGCGCAGAGGGACCGAGCCCAGCAGCCCCCTCTCCTCAGGTGCTCCCGGACGGAACGCGCTTCTGGTCGGGACCCAGACTCTGCCCTCGGCCCCTGGAGTTTGATGCCAGCCAAGTGAGTGGGGCCCGGGAGCCCCGAGGGCGCCCCTGCACCCCCGACGGGTGCTGACCCCGAGGGGCCCCGGGGCGTCCACGGGCCGGCGGGGCAGCACTGGGACACGCCCGGGGCGGGGCCCGCACCCGCCCCCACGCGCGCTCTCCTCCCTCCGCAGGACACGCACCTCCTGTACGTGCTGGCGGCCGCCAACCTGTGCGCGCGGGTGCACGGGCTGCCCGGCTCCCGGGACCTGCCCGCGCTCCGGGACCTGCTGGAGCTGCTGCCGCCGCCCGACCCCCGGCGCCTGGACGCCGTCCTGTCCGGCGGCCTGGCTTCCCCCGAGCTGGGTGAGGCCGCCCCGCCCGCCCCGGCTGCCGCCGGCTCCGTGCTGCCTCCGTGGAGGAAAGCGGGGGCCTGGGGCCCTGCAGCCAGCCCCCACTCAGCCCTTCCCGGCCCTCCGCAGCCCCTCCCTGACCCATCCCCCAGCAGGCTTGGTTTTGTTTAGGGAGAGGGAGAGAGAAACCTCGATGATGAGAGAGAAGTGATTGGCTGCCTCCTGCACATGCCCTGACCCGGAACTGAACTGTGACCTCCTGGGTCACAGGTCAACGCTCAACCACTGAGCCCCGCCGGCCGCCACTTGGCAGGCTTTTAAGCAAAAAATGCACAAACCACGAGGCTCTGAGGAGCTCTTACCTATGGCCCCAGGTTAGACAGAGCCATGTAGCACACACAGGCATGCAGACACACACACACACACAGAGACACACAGACACACACACAGACACACACAGATACACACAGACACACACACACAGACACACACACACACAGATACACACAGACACACACACAGACACACACAGATACACACAGACACACACACACACAGATACACACAGATACACACAGACACACACACACAGACACACACACACACACACACAGAGACACACACACAGAGATACACACAGACACACACACACAGATACACACAGACACACACACACAGACACACACAGACACACACACACACAGACACACACACAGATACACACAGACACACACACACACAGACAGATACACACACACACACTCTCTCACACACACACACAGATACACACACACAGATACACACAGACACACACACAGACACACACAGACAGATACACACACACACACTCTCTCACACACACACACAGATACACACACACAGATACACACAGACACACACACAGACACACACACAGATACACACAGACACACACACACACACACACTCAGGCAGCAGGGAGGAGACGGCCGCGTCAGTGGGGGAGGACCAGGAAGGGGCCTGGCTGGGCAGTGAGGGGCTGGGCAGTGAGGGCAGGCCGGCCGGACTGTCCCACCCTCCCCCAGGCCCCGGGCAGGAGTGGCTGCGCCGAGCCCTGCGGGACTGGAGCCGGGGCCGCCCGCTGGAGCCGCTGCCGTTTGACAAGGTGGGAGCGGTGACCGCTGCCTCCCCTGAGGCCTGGCTGGGCGGGGAGGCTGCGGGGAGGGAGGCCGGAGCGAGAAGGCAGCGGGGCCTGCCCGAGCCTCGGGGGACCAGCGCCCTCCCCTTCCCTCCGCTGGGCGGGGAGAGGGGCGCCCGGAGCTGTGGGGAGATCGGCCCGCACGCGGTGGAGGCCCGGGCGATGCTCACGCTCCTGCGACCCGAACCCCCAGGACGACGACAGCAACTTCCACGTGGACTTCGTGACGGCGGCGGCCGGCCTGCGGGCCCAGAACTACGGGATCCCGGCCGCCACCCGCTCCCAGGTACCTGCCGCCGGCCCGCGGGGAGGAGGGGCGCAACCCCAGCCCCACCGAGGCCCCACCGAGGCCGCACCGAGGCTGCACCAAGGCCCCACCGAGGCCCACACCCCGGCCACACCCCGGCCACACCCCGGCCACACCCGTCTCCTGTCCTTGGCAGAGCAAGCGGATCGTGGGCCAGATCATCCCGGCCATGGCCACCACCACCGCGGCCGTGGCCGGCCTGCTGGGCCTGGAGCTCTTCAAGCTGGTGGGCGGCCCCCGGCCTCGCAGCGCCTTCCGCCACAGCTACCTGCTCCTGGCCTGGAACTCCTACAGCCGCTCCGTGCCCCGCGCCCCCGCCGTCCACACGGTGCGCCCGACACCCGCCCCAACACCCACCCACTGCTGCCCCGGGCTCCCCTGCGCCCCCACAGCCCGCTGGCGGCACCGAGACCGGATCCTTCATCCCCCTCAGCCCCTTCCTGCTGCGGCCGCCAGCCTGCGGCCTGTCAGACACAGGAAGTAGCCGTCAGCCACCCGCTCGCCGCGGGGTCTGGGGGAGCAGCTTTAACTCATTAGTGAGCCAGACAGGCCCAGCCCCCTCCCTCCAGGAGCGCCCTGGGGGAGGGGCGGGGGGGCCCAGCCCAAGCAGAGCCGATGTCCGCCTCCCTCACCCGTGGCCTCAGCCTGCAGGCGGTGGGGACCTGCCCTCCCCATTCACACGGAGGTGCACAGAGCTCCCGGCGTCCCGGGGGTGGGGGTGGAACACACGCAGCCCAGGATGTGTGAGTCCGGGCACAGGCTGCTGCCCTGGGCTGGGTGGCACGGAGGGAGCACGCCTGCACATCTGTGTGCCAGATGGGAGGCAGGCTCTCCTGCAGCGTGGCTCTCACACGTGCACGTGAGCACGCATGTGGTCCCTGCCTCGGCGCATGCCCCTGGGGAGCAGGGCTGAGGGGCCCTGGCCGTGCCCCGTTCTGCCGCCAGCTTCTCCCGGGGCACAGGAGATGGGTGGAGAGAATGCCCTCACCAGGGGAGAGGCAGAGGTCAGGGGCTGGCGCTGGGGTCCCCCAGGGCATGGCACACAGAGGGCTTTGTGAGGGACCAGGAGCACACAGGCTGCCTTTGTCCGGGGGCGGGGGAGGGATAGGACCCCCTTCTCACCCCGGTCTTGTCTCAGCCTGACCCCACTCTATGTCCTGGGGGGTTGGCAGGCTCTCATGTCCGGTCCCTGGCTGCCTGCCACCCTCTGCCCCTCCGCTCTGGGCACTGGACCCCGGGACTCCTGAAACGGGGACGGAGGGGCAGGAGAGGAGGCCTCGGTGGCTGTCCCAGCAGCCACGCTGCCCTCGCCCCTGTGCCCAGGAGCAGCCGAGGCCCCGCAGTGCGGCCCCCCATCCCAGCCCCCAGGCTGCGCCTGAGGAGTCAGCGGCCTCCGTGGAGCCTCCCGCCAGGGCCGGCTCCGCTTCCTCAGGAAGCACCGCCCTCCGCTCCGCAGGCCGCCTGGATGGATGCTGGTTCCCCTGCGTGGGGGCCCCAGGCCCGTTTCCTGTGCGGCTGCAGCGAGGGCTGCGGTGGCTGAGCTGCTGGGCCCCGAGCCCACTCCCACCCCCGCCCCCGGCCGCTGCTTCCTGCCCGGCCAGCGCCTCCAGGGAAGGCGTCCGCGGGGCGGGGGCGGGGGGGGGGTGTTGGTGGAAGCTCCTCACTCCCCCCCTCCCCCGCAGTTCCACCATCTGACCTGGACCTGCTGGGACCGCCTGAAGGTGCCCGCTGGGCAGCCCGAGAGGACCCTGCAGTCACTCCTGGCCCATCTCCAGGTGTGCGCCCCGCCCCCTCCCGCCCCGCCCCCTGCCTCCCCACCCCGGCCCGCACCCAGCACCTGACCTCTCCCCCAGGAGCAGCACGGGCTGCGGGTGCGGATGCTGCTGCTGGGCAGGGCCCTGCTCTACTCGGCTGGGTGGCCGCCCGAGAAGCAGGCCCAGCGCCTGGGCCTCAGGTGAGCCCGCCCGCTCCGCCCTGTCCCTGGAGGTTGGAGGTGGGGGCTCAGGCCTCTCTCCGGCCCCTCCGGCCCCTCACACCTACCTGACGCCTCCTTCGCCAAATGGAGCCGGCAAACGGGCTGGGGGCGGGGCGAGGCAGAGCGGCCGAGGGCCCCCGGAGCTGCCTGCTCCGGCCACCCGCCCGGCTCCTCGCCCTCCCCGCCCGGCGCCCCCTCGGAGCCCACTCCCCAGGGACTGGGCTTCCTGCCTCCCGCCAGCCGCTCCGAAAATAGCTGCAGATGTTTCCTGTCCTGAGCCGCCGCCGCTCCTGGCCGGCTCCTCCTGGCCCCGGTCCACGGTCCCTCTGCTGCCTCTGCCCAGCGACCCAATCCGCCCATCCCTCCCCCCAGGGTGACGGAGCTGGCCCAGCAGGTGACCGGACAGCAGGTGCCCCAGCCCGGGCAGCGGGTGCTGGCCCTGGAGCTCAGCTGTGAGGGCGAGGAGGACGACACCGCGTTCCCGCCCCTGCACTACGAGCTGGCACCGGACAGCGGCCGCCCCGCGCCCCCGGGCTCTGCGGGCCCCCAGGAGGCGCTCAGTAACGAGCCGGGGCCCCCAGGAGGCGCTCAATAAACGCTGCTGCACTATCGCACACGCGGAGGCTGGGCAGGGTGTGACGCGCGGCGCTCTTTAGGTTCGCCTGCCCGGGCTGTGCCTGCGGGCCGGGCCTGCTCCCAGAGACGGGGCTGTGGAGCCAGGACAGTCCGTGGGTCTTTATTGCCGGGCGGCGGGCGGTCAGAGGTAGCTGACCATGTCGGTACAGACGAGGGGCCGGCGGCTGCGGCAGCTCATGAGGGCGGCGAAGCGGGAGGCGTCGGTGGGCAGCTCGGGCTCGGCGCGCGGGGGGCATGACAGGCGCTTCCCGGCCACGGCTGCCCGGCGGGCCCTGGCCAGCTGGCGCCGCAGCTGCTCCGAGAGGCCCAGCAGGAACTGGGGGGGCCGCGCACGGGCACGGGGCGCCCCGGCGCGGTCCCCCTCGCCCGCGGCCTCGGGCAGCTCCATCCAGTTGTGCACCAGGTCGGCGAAGCAGTTGTCCCCCAGCACCAGCGGCTGCCGGCTCCGGCCTCGGCTCAGCAGGGCCGCGGTCCAGTCCTCGGCGTCCAGGCCCCGCCAGTGCTCCAGGCAGGCGTCCGGGGTGGACTTGGGCCGCGGCCGGTGGGCGGGGGGCGCCCTGGGCACCGGGGCCCCGCCGGGCAGGGGGAGGCCGATGGCGGAGAGGCGCTGGCGGTGGGGGCGCCACGCGGGGGGCGCAGGGCGCCGAAGGGCGGGCGGCTCCTCCTCTCGCCAGGTGCTGCCTGACACCTCGGAGAAGCCGGAGTCCCAGTCCATGGCGGGCTCCCGCGGGCCCTCCGCCGTCATCGCGCCCCCCTCCTCCTCGTCCTCCGCACCGCAGGCAGAGTCCTCCTCCAGGGCGTCCGAGGCCCTGAGCCGGGGCTGGGCCCCCGGGCCGGGTTTGGGGGGTGGCGGGAGGGGGCCGGGCATCGGGGCTGTGTCCCGGCCACACGGCTGTGGAGGAAGAGAGGCAGAGGTCGGAGGGGCCGTGCTGGCCACCCCTCCCGGCCTGGCCAGGCCCATCCCAGGGCAGAGGGCCCGGGGCGGGCAGCTGGGCCTCCGGGAGCACGGGGCACGCACGGGGCCCTGGCACACGGCGCTCCAGGCGCCCGGTGGCAGGCGGCAGGCTGCGGCACGCAGAGCTGGGCAAGTCAGCACCCGCCACCCACCGGGCAGGCGGGAGGCAGGGTTGCGGGGCAGGAATCGGGAAGTAGGTCCTGCTCGGGGCTGGGGGTTGGGGTGGAGCATCCGGTGCATTTGAGGGATCCAGCCCCCCAAGCCCGCAGAGCACTGGCCAGGCGGGTAGAGCGAGGAGGTGCAGGCAGACCGGGGAAGGGGCGCCCGCAGCAGCCCCAGCGCCTCTGGGTCCCTCAGTCCCCAGTTCGATCCCAAAGGAGCGTCCGGCCCACCCCCGCCCCCGCCGCCCGCAGCACGGCCAGCTGGGCCGCTGTTACTTGATGCCCCGCGCAGCTCCCAACCGTCCGAAACCCGACGCGGCCATCTGGGCCACCGGGCCGCTCCGCCCGCCCGTCCCGCTTGGGACGGGCCCTCGGAGCGGCCCCCACCCGGCTGTCGGTCGGGCCGCCGGAGCCGCGCACCCCGCACGCGTCCCTGGGAGTCACCGCATCGAGCCTCACCAGTTCCCCGCGGGGCTGGCCCAGGAAGCTGTCAAGCCGAGCGCTGTGCATCCCGCGCCGGAGCCCCCGCCGGGCCTGCCGGGTCCTCTGCGAACTCCGGCCGGAGCGGCCGGGGCACGGGGGCCGCGGGCCGGGGCGCCCTCGCCTCTGCCCAGACCGCCGCTCCGCGCTCCCGCCGCCGCCGCCGGCGCTGCCCCAACATCTGGCGGCCTCGCCCCACCCCTGGCGCCGCAGCCAATGGGCGGGGCGGGGCTGATAGAGGCCACGCCCCTGGGCGGGGCGGCGGGTGAGCACCACCCCTGGCGCCGCAGCCAATTAGCCGGGGCGGGGCTGATAGAGGCCACGCCCCTGGGCGGGGCGGCGGGTGAACACCACCCCTGGCGCCGCAGCCAATGGGCGGGGCGGGGCGGGGCTAGGGATGTCACGCCCCGGGGCGGGGCTGGCGGTGAGCGCCACGCCCACTGCGCGCTCGGCTCCGGCGCTGGGCCGGGCGGGCCGGCCGGGACTCCCCGCCGCCCGGGGCGGCTGAGCTCACCCCGGCTCGCTGCGTGGCCCAGAGCCAGTGGCTCCCCCGCGGCAGCCTCAGCTTCCCCATTTGTCCCCAGACGGAACTTGGGTTCCTCCTGCGGGGGCGCCCTCGTGCGGGCAGAGTGGGCCGCGGGGACAATCCCTGGAAGTGATGGTGGAGCCCGGCCCCTCGGAGGACTCAGCAGCCAGCAGGGGCCCTGGCGGCAGCACCGGGGAGGACCCTCTCCCGGGGCCGGCCCCGCCCCTCCTGCCGCGTCCGGGCCCGGCTCGGCCTTGGCCGGGCCGCCCTCTGGTGGGGAACGCGGGGAACGGCGATTCCTGCGGCGACATCTGCATCCGCCCCCCTATCCCTTCGCCCCCTTCCCCCTCCCCTCCTTCCCCCGCTACAGACTGAGGGGTGCAGGGGTCAGGGCGGCACTCGGGGGGGGGGGGGGACACGGCAGCACCAGGGTTTCAGGCTGGGGTCAAGGATACTGTCCAACGGGAGGCAGAGACCAGTCAGCAGCCAGGAAAAGGCCGGCCGGAGAGGGGACGCAGAGGGTCTGAGGAGCCATGCAGGGAGAGGAAGAAGAGGGCCTTCCAGGCGGAGGGCCGGCCAGGGAAAGGCCCCGGGGGACAGGAGTGGACAGGCCTTCACACCAAGGAGGCCCGCGATGTGGATGGAGGCCGTGGCTGGGGGAGGGCAGAGGTCAGCGGCCTCAGGGACCCACCGGAGCCTTTGTTCTTGGGGGATGGGGCCCTGGGCGCGTCTGAGCAGGCAGTGTCCTGGGCTGGCTCCTGTTGGGGATCCCCGCTGTTGGGGAGATCCCCGCTGTAACCAGAGCAGAGGCGCCTGCCCCCTGGGGCTCAGCGGGGCTGATGAGAAAAAGGGGGTCACGTTGGGGTATGATTTGAAGCTAATATGAGCAGGGAAAGAGAGCCTCAAGCATGACTCCTGCGTGTCTGGCCTGCACGTCTGGTTGGGTGGGATTGCCATGAACCCATCCAGGAAAGACTGGAGAAGAGTGGGTTTGCCAGGAAAATCAAAGCACCCCCACCAATCCATCGAGGGGGGGCGGGTCAGCCTCAGGGGTGTGGCTCCGGAGCCTGGGTGGGAGGTCAGCACTGAAGCTTGGCTGGAGGCAGAGGGAGTGGATGGTGCTCAAGGCCAGGGGCCCGGATGTGACAGCAGAGGGGAGCTCAGGAGACAGGACTGCGCCCGGAGCACCCTGCTGGGTGGAGGTAGGAAGATGAAACAGAACACATGGACAATTCTTTAAAAAATTTTTTTTTTTTTAATTTCAGAGAGAAAGAGAGAGAGAAACACCAATTATGAGAGAGAATCATCAGCTGCCTCCTACACGCCCCACACGGAATGGAGTTTGTAACCCCAGGATATGCCCTGACTGGGAATCAAACCGGGACCTCCTGGTTCCTAGGTGGATGCTCAACCACTGAGCGACACAGGCTGGGCCACATGAGCAATTCTTTTTTTTTTTTTTTTTTAAATATATTTTATTGATTTTATACAGAGAGGAAGGGAGAGAGATAGAGTCAGAAACATCGATGAGAGAGAGTCATCGATCAGCTGCCTCCTGCACACCCCCCACTGGGGATGTGCCCGCAACCAGGGTACATGCCCTTGACCGGAATCGAACCCGGGACCCTTCAGTCCCCAAGCCGACGCTCTATCCATTGAGCCAAACCGGTCCTGGCCACATGAGCAATTCTTAAAGGTACAGCCCACGTGTATATCTGTCACCCAGATCAGGGTGTAAGACACCTCCCCCCCCCGGGGGGCTCTCTCTGCCCCTCTGGGCACCCCCAAGACACCGCTGTTCGACCTCTGTCACCAAGGCTTCCTTTGGTGACAGGTAAACAGCTTCTGGGAGGTTGTGTTGGTGGCTGGGCTCCGATTTTGTAGGCCAAGAACCTTCTGACGGGATGGCAGCTGGAGTTCAGACTCCACGGTTAGCCCGTCGTGGGCCCCGTGTTCCTGGGCACCGTCCTGCCCGTCTCCGAGGACTGCACGACCCAGGCTTCCTGAGCTGTTTCCGCGTCTTCGCCCCGCTCCCCTCCTCCGGGTTGTGGTAAAGAACGGAGGAAATCCAATGAGAACACGGGGTTTCTGGACGCCTGTCTGGAGTCTAGAGCTCGGTCAGGCAGGGGTGCGGGTGGGGAGGTGGGGGAGTGGGTGGTGGGTGGGGCTACCACCTGGGAGGCCCGGGAGGCCCGCCCACCCAGTGTGTTTGAGCAACTCGCCTGGCAACAGGTGGCCCGGCAAAGGCAGCGGGCTTTCCCGTCCCGTCCCGTCCCCTCCGCTGTCCCGTCTGCAGGCTCCCTGCCGCGGATCAGCTGGCTATGGCGCCGATCAGGCCCCTGGCCATTCTTCTCGCTCTGGCTGTGTCTGGTGAGGAGCTGGTGGGTGGGGAGCCCCGCTCTCCGCCTTCCACACCCTCCACCGTGGAGGCCTGACCCTTCTCAGAGAAGCTGCCTGGAGGGGAGGGGAGGGGAGGGGAGGGGAGGGCCGGGGCTGAACTCCGACCCCCTTTCCTGCCTTGGCTTCTTCCTCAGCAAGTCCTCGCCCCAATCTGCGACATGAGTGACTGAGGGCCGGGTGTGGGGCAGAGGGTAGCGCTGCGCTCCTGGGCGGGTTCCAGGTGTGGGGTGGGGGGGGGTGGGGGAGCCTCTGGCCTGACCGCCCCTCCCTCCCAGACCTCCACGGCCTGCCCTGGTTCGTCAATGTCTCCGAGAGCCAGGGGCCTGGCGCCCGCCTCTGGTCCTTCTCCTTCAACTGCTCCTCGGGCACGCCCTCCCTGAAGCTGCTCCGGGTGCAGCCGCCCAGCCCCTTCTTCAACCCGCCCAGCCTGGCCCCCTGGCAGGGGCTGTATGTGGGGCAGGTGGGTCCCGGGGCAGCTGGGAAGGGGGAAGGGCAGACGTGCAGTCACAGAGCCAGAGGTGGTGCGGGGCCTTAGGACCGGCTCCTAGCAGCTCCGATGGATGACTCAAACTGGACGCTCTGGGGCTGCTGGCCCCGCTAGAAGGGCTAATGGCCCCTGAATGGCCGAGGGGAGTGTCAGCGGAGACCTGGGGGGGATGTCGGGGAGGCCGGGGGAGGAAGCCCAGCCCCAGCAGGCCCCTCCCCTCACAGCTGACCTTGAGCAGCTCGGCCCGGCTGGACGCCCTGGCCGTGAACCACTATGAGCTGCAGCTGCAGGTGACCTGCGGCCGCGAGGTGATCGAGGGGCCCCTCTCCGTGAACGTGCAGCGGGACCCCGACCGCGCCCAGTGTACCGGCCGGTTTGCCAGCCCAGGTGAGGCCAGGGCGGCGGGGGCCGGGCAGGGGGGGCGGCGGGCGGGCGGGCGGCGGGCCGGCCTCAGCACAGCCCCCTGGTCTCCCGGCAGCCGGCGAAGCCATCCAGGTGCCCGAGACGGTCGCCCCGGGGGCTCGGCTCTACACCCTGCTCCCCGGCCTGGAGCTCCAGGGAGCGCAGGTGAGGCAGCAGGCGGCAGCGCGTGCGTGTGCGTGTGCGTGTGTGTGTGCGTGTGTGCGTGCGTGCGTGTGTGTGTGTGTGCACGCGCGTGTGCGTGCGTGCATGTGTGTGTGTGTTGGGGGGCAGCAGCGTGTGCGTGTGTGTGTGTGTGTGTGTTGGGGGTGGCAGCGTGTGTGTGTGTGTTGGGGGCAGCAGCGTGTGTGTGTGTGTGTGTGTGTGTTGGGGGTGGCAGTGTGTGTGTGTGTGTTGGGAGCAGCAGCGTGTGTGTGTGTGTGTGTGTGTGTTGGGGGCGGCAGCGTGTGTGCGCATGTGTGTGTGCGTGCATATGTGCGTGTGTGTTGGAAGTGGCAGCATGTGCATGTGTGTGTGTGTGTGTGTTGGGGGCGGCAGTGTGTGTGTGTGTGTGTGTTTTGGGGGCGGCAGCGTGTGCGTGTGTGTGTGTGTGTTGGGGGGTGGCAGTGTGTGTGTGTGTGTGTGTGTGTTGGGGGGTGGCAGTGTGTGTGTGTGTGTGTGTTGGGGGCGGCAGTGTGTGTGTGTGTGTGTGTGTGTGTGTTGGGGGGTGGCAGTGTGTGTGTGTGTGTGTGTGTGTGTGTTGGGGGCGGCAGTGTGTGTGTGTGTGTGTGTGTGTGTGTGTGTTGGGGGGTGGCAGTGTGTGTGTGTGTGTGTGTGTGTGTGTGTTGGGGGCGGCAGTGTGTGTGTGTGTGTGTGTGTGTGTGTGTGTGTGTGTTGGGGGCGGCAGTGTGTGTGTGTGTGTGTGTGTGTGTGTGTGTGTTGGGGGCGGCAGCGTGTGTGTGTGTTGGGGGGCAGGTGGGGGGCGCAGAATGGAGGCGGCACGGGAAACCCAGCTCAGCCCCTGCCTTACCGGGAACGGCCTGCAGAGGGAGCCTTCTGCGCGCAGCTGCGTCTGCAGGGCACACGCTCAGGAGAGCACCCTGACCCCGGCTGTGGCCACAGGAACCTCTCAGGGGCGAGCCCCTCGGCTCTCTGTGCTCTGAGTCCCCGTGGAAATCCTGAATCTCTGTGTAACGTGAAATTCCAGTGCAGTTCACGCACACACACAGAGAACGGCTCAGACACAGGATTAGGGCCAGGGCCCCGGGGCCGGGCTAGGGTAAGCGTCCGTGTTGGGGGCCTGGAGGGCTGGGTGTGGGCTGTTGGGGATTTGGCAGGGTGCCTGGGGCACTGGGCTGGGGACCCCAACATCTCTGTCGGCTCAGGCGAACATCACCAGTGCCCAGGACCCGCCGTACTTCCCGGGACCTTTCTCCATCAGCGGGCAGGGCTGGCTGCAGGCGCCCGCCCAGGGCCTCAGAGGCCAAGCCCCGAAGGTGAGTGTGACTCGGGAACGGGGACGCCCAGGGACCGGGCACACGGCGGGCAGAGCCACCCCCTCCTGGAGACGTGCTTCTCTCGGCCTCTCCCAGCCCAGGCTGCACCCGCACCCGCACCCGCACCCGCACCTGCATCCACACCCGCACCGGCCCCCGTGGCCCCGGGTGGCCGTCCCCGCCGCGGCCTGGGCGGGTGCCAGCTCTGCGTTCCAGAAGGAGCCGGGGTCCTGGCTCTGGGACCCAGGGTGCCTGAGGAGAAGGGAGTGCTCAGAGCTCACACAGGGAGGGCCGTGTGGGTGCGGCGGCCAGTGCCCTTGAGGGAGGTGGGGAAGTTCCTTCTTTAAAACTCCTGGGCCTGCCGAGACCGGTTTGGCTCAATGGATAGAGCGTCGGCTTGGGGACTGACGGGTCCCGGGTTCGATTCTGGTCAAGAGCATGTAACTTGGTTGCGGGCACATCCCCAGTAGGGGGTGTGCAAGAGGCAGCTGATCGATGACTCTCTCTCATCGATGTTTCTAACTCTCTATCTCTCTCCCTCTCTGTACAAAATCAATAAAATATATTTTAAAAAAACAAAAACAAAACAAAACAAAACAAAAAAACTCCTGGGCCTTAGGGACTGGCTCTTACCGTCATATCGTGACCGACTCAGACACGACCCTCTGGGGGCTGCTGGCACCCGATAGAAGGGCCCATGGCCCACCAGTGGGCTGAGAGGAAGGTGTCAGCGGGAGCCCGTCTGGGAGGAGGGGTGTCGGGGAGGGGATGTTGGGGAGGGGTGTCGGGGAAGGGTGTCGGGGAGGGGTGTCGGGGAGGGGGCGTTGGGGGGGGTGTCGGGGGGGGTGTCGGGGGGGTGCTGGGGGGGTGCTGGGGAGGGGGTGCTGGGGAGGGGATGTTGGGGCTCCTTGCGGAGGGGTCCGCCTCCTGGATAAGTGCCGGTTCCCTCCCGTGTGTGCCCGCAGCTCTTCCGGCTCCAGGTAATGCTGACCTGGGGGCGAGGCCGCCACTGCCGCGGGGAGCTGGCCGTGAGAGTCCTGCCGGCGCCCGCCAGCCAGCTCTCCTTCCCGTGAGGCTCCCCGGGCGGCGGGCGGGCGGCGCAGGGGAGGGGGCTGCTGTGGGTCAGCCTGGTGCGGGCGGTCCCCGCCGAGGGGCTGGGCTGCCTGGTGCGGGCGGTCCCTGCAGAGGGGCCTGGGCTGCCTGGTGCGGGCGGTCCCTGCAAAGGGGCCTGGGCTGCCTGGGGGGGGGCGGTCCCCGCCGAGGGGCCTGGGCTGCCTGGGGGGGGGCAGTCCCAGGAGGGGCTGGGCTGCCTGGGGGGGCAGTCCCAGGAGGGGCTGGGCTGCTGGGGGGGGCAGTCCCTGCAGAGGGGCCTGGGCTGCCTGGGGGGGCAGTCCCTGCAGAGGGCCTGGGCTGCTGGGGGGGCGGGCAGGACCGCAGGAGCCGCCTGTGCCTTAGGGTGCGGAGCCTGAGCGTCTCGGTCCCCGAGGACCTGGCCCCCGGGAGCGTGGTGGCGCGGGTCCGGGCGCGGGGCGAGGACGTGCGCTACGAGCTGCTGGCGCCGGCGCGCGGCCCGCGCTTCTCCATCGGACGCGGTGAGGGGTGCGGGGCGGGGGTGCGGGCTGCTCTGTGGGTGGGTGGGGGTGTCCGCACCGAGGACAGGGCTGGAGCCGCGGCGGGAACTGGGGCCCGGGCCGCCAGGGGGAGAGCCTGGGAGCCGGGCGGGGACCCACGGAGCCTTGCGTCCCCCTCCCCGCCCAGCGGACGGCGTGGTGCGGCCCTCCGCGCCCCTGGCCGTGGCGGTCACCACGCTGCAGGTGCGGGCCTTCGAGCGGCTGCGGCCGGGTCCCAGCGTCCAGCTCGACCTCACCGTGAACGTGACCGTGGTCAACCGCTGGCCCCCGTGCTGCCTCCCGGCGCTGCTGCTGTGAGTTCCCGCCCGGCCTCGGCCTGGGGGCGCCGGCCGCAGCCCCGCCCGGCCGGACCGCCCTGCGCTCTGCTCCCAGGACTCAGGTCCCCGAGACCGCGCCCGTGGGCACCCCGCTGGGCACCTTCACCTGCGAGGACCCCGACTCCCCGGGCTCCCCCCTCCGCTACCAGCTGCGGGCCCGCAGCCCCCAGGACCTGGCCAGCCTGCGCCTCCGAGACCGGGTTCTGGAGGTGCCCGGTGCCTGCCCGCAGGGCGCCTGGGGAGGGTGGGGGCGAGGGTCTGGGAGAGCCAGCTGGTGAAGAACATGGGAGCCTCCAGGGGTCGGAGGGTATGTGGGTGCCCCCAGGCTGCCCAGGGTGCTCCAGCGCCCACAGGTGAGCCCTCCACCCCTCCGGGCAGGTGAACGCCACCCTGGACTGTGACGCGCCCGGGGCCTGCTTTCAGCTCGCCGCCTCCCTCCTGGTGCTGGACGGCGGCCAGCCCCCCATGAGCAGTGAGCGGCCAGCAGGCTGGGCGGCCCGGGCCTCTCTCAGGATAGGGCCCTCCTCCTCTCTCCGAACTGGACGGCTGTGTGTCTCCATTTCTTATGGGGTGGGGGGCAGATCTCCTCTCTTAGCTCTTCCCTCCCACCAGCCCCCCCCAAGGGCAGGGACCATCTCCCCCAGCCCTTCCCCGGCCGGCGCCCTGACCCTCTGGCCTGCAGCTGAGGTGCCAGTGCTGGTGACGGTGACACCGGTCAACGAGTTCTCGCCGGCCTGTGCCCCTCGGACATTCCGGGTCCGTGAGGACGCAGGGCCCCGCACCCTGCTGGGCTCCGTGGTGGCCTCGGACATGGACTACCCGCAGGCCGGCTCGGAGTTCCACTCCCCCGGCCGGCCGGCCCCCTTCGCCGTGGACCGGCTCAGTGGTACCTCCGCGGCGCAGGGCTGGGTGCGGGGCGGAGGCGGGGCGGAGGCGGGGTGCGGGGCTGGGTGCGGGGCGGAGGCGGGGGGGCGGGGCTGGGTGCGGGGCGGAGGCGGGGGGGCGGGGCTGGGTGCGGGGCGGAGGCGGGGCGGAGGCGGGGGGGGGGCTGGGTGCAGGGCGGAGGCGGGGGGGGGGCTGGGTGCGGGGCGGAGGCGGGGGCTGGGTGCGGGGCGGAGGCGGGGGGGGCTGGGTGCGGGGGGCTGGGTGCGGGGCGGAGGCGGGGGCTGGGTGCGGGGCGGAGGCGGGGGGGGCTGGGTGCGGGGCGGAGGCGGGGGGGGGGCTGGGTGCGGGGCGGAGGCGGGGGGGGGCTGGGTGCGGGGCGGAGGCGGGGGGGGCTGGGTGCGGGGTTGGGTGCGGGGGGCTGGGTGCGGGGGCTGGGTGCGGGGCGGAGGCGGGGGGAGGGCTGGGTGCGGGGCGGAGGGGGGGGGCTGGGTGCGGGGCTGGGTGCGGGGGGCTGGGTGCGGGGGCTGGGTGCGGGGCTGGGTGCGGGGCGGAGGCGGGGGGGGCTGGGTGCGGGGCGGAGGCGGGGGCTGGGTGCGGGGCTGGGTGCGGGGCGGAGGCGGGGGCTGGGTGCGGGGCTGGGTGCGGGGCTGGGTGCGGGGCGGAGGCGGGGGCTGGGTGCGGGGCTGGGTGCGGGGCTGGGTGCGGGGCGGAGGCGGGGGCTGGGTGCGGGGCTGGGTGCGGGGCTGGGTGCGGGGCGGAGGCGGGGGCTGGGTGTGGGGCTGGGTGCGGGGCTGGGTGCGGGGCGGAGGCAGGGTGGGCTGCGGGCTGAGCCACGGGCGCGGCCATCCCCTCCAGGGGAGGTCCGCCTGCTGGGGCCGCTGGACTACGAGCAGCAGAGGCTGCACCAGCTCCCCGTGCTGGTGACCGACCGCAGCCAAGGCCGGGGCCCCGCGCAGCCGCGCTCCGGCTCCTGCACCGTCGCCGTGGAGGTGGAGGTGAGCGGCCGAGGCCTCGGAGAGGACGGAGCTTCTCCTCCGTGCCTCAGTTTCTCCCATTGGCTGGCTGGGGGGAGGGGCTCGTGCGGAAAGCTTGTGGCCTGCTGCCCAGACCCAGGCTCTGGCTGTGGCTGAGGCCTGGGCCTGGGGGGACGGTGACCGGCCGCCCGCCTGCAGGATGTGAACGAGCACGCCCCCGAGTGCGAGCCGCCGTTCCAGGAGCTGGCCGTCCACGCGTCCCCGGGCAGCAGCACGGAGGTGACCAGGCTGTCGTGTCGGGTCCCACAGGAGCCACAGCGCCTCGCCTTCTCCTACAGCCTCGTGGGAGGTGCGGCCGGGCCCCGGGAGGGGGGGGAGGCGCAGGCCAGGTCGGCCATGGTCCCCTCCTCCTGCCGCCGCTCTCAGGGGCCGGCCAGGGCCGCTTCCGCCTGCAAGGAGCCGCCCTGCTGCACGAGGAGCCCCCGTCGGGGCCGCCGCCCCCAGCGCAGCCCCGGACCTACGAGCTCCTGATCCGCGTGGCCGACGCGGGCCCCTCCGCCCCCCACCGCAGCACCACGGCCACCGTCCTGGTGCACCTGGTCCCCCGGACGGCCAGCGCCGCGGCCACCAGCACCAGCGGCGCCACCGTGAGGGGCCCCGGCCGTGCGGGTGGGAGGGGCTCCTGGGGGTGAGGAGACCCAGTGTTCCGGGCGGAGCCTGGGGGCAGGAATTCCAGAGGGAACCCCGAGCAGTCCCAGAGGGAACCCGGGGTGTGGGTGCCACTCCTGGGCTGTGGGTGCCATGCCCCGAGGGGCTCGGAGGCGGGTGCCCGGGGCGTCGGGCAGGGCAGGAGGAGGCTGTGCCCGTTTCAGGTGCCTGCGGCGGCGGCGGCGACAGCCCTGCTGGTGACCCACACGGAGCCTTTCTGGCAGCCGGAGCCCTGGTTTGTGGCGGTGCTGACGGTGACCGGCGCCCTGCTCCTGGCCCTGGGCTGGCTCCTCTGCCGGCATCTCCGGGGGTAGGGGCTCCCTGCCTCCCCAGCCCATGCAGGGCCCACCTGAGAGGGGCGGCTGCAGCCAAGATTCAATTACAAAGCCCTGGGACCAGCAGACAGGCTGACCGTCAGGGAGCTGCCCTCCCTCCAGAGGGCGCAGTCAGAGGCACAGAGGCCAGGGAAGGACGCTGTCTCCAGGGCTGGCAGAGCCCAGGGGTGGTATGGGGTGGGCATGGAGGCGGCCCAGGCTTGGCCTCCCAGTGCGTGGTGCCTGGGGCATTGATCCTATTCCTTACCCCGCCCTCCACGGGTAGCGATGTGGATGCGGTAGACAGGCACCGGCTCTCCCCAGCGCCAAGGGGAGGTGGATGGCGCTGGCGCCCGGGCCAGCCGGCCTGTGCCCTCATGCCCGGCCTTCCTCCTGGCATCTTAGGTGGGCCCAAGGGCTACGGGCACCGAGCAAACCAGCCCCGGCGCTGCTGCTAACCAGGTCAGCCTCCCGCACACCGCGCTGCCTGCAAGGCGGTCCCCAGCTAGGCTGAGGCCCCGAGCTCATCCTGCGGTCCTGCTCTCCCTTCGCCCAGTATCCAGGGCACCGAGGGGTCCTCGGAGGGGTTCATGGAGGCGCCCAGGATGGAGACGCCCGAGGCACCCAGCAGCATCAGGAGCCTGGTATGTCAGCCCCTCGGCGCGGGGCACAGGCTGCTGGAGCGCTCCCACCAGCCCTGCCCCTGCCCGTGGGTGGCTACCCAGGGCGGGTGGGGACGCAGGAAGGCAGGCACTGACCCTGGGACAGGCTCCCTCACGTGCCTCTTGTTCCCACAGCGACATTTCGATGGCAGAGCCCAGGACTCGCGTGAGCCCCCTCTTCCCAAACCAGCCCCTCCGGGACCCCTTTCTCTCATTCTCCATCTCAGCATCTCCCACCGCCAGGCGCCCCCCACCCACGCTTTCCCTGAATGGGGTCTGCTCTCACCCCCACTCACCTCACAGCCAGCCTTTGTCCAACACCCGGGGGGCCGGGAATAGTGGACTCAGAGCTGGTCTGGGCCCACCCACGGGGGCAGGGAGGGACGGTGGAGAGAGGAGAGTGCCATGGTCACCAGGGAATGCTGGCAGAGTCCCCTGGCAACTGGCTCAGTGGAGCAACTGTCCGGTTTCGGGGAATCCAGGATGCGTCCTGTGCATTTGAGCTGGACCTCAGAGAATTTTCTGAGGAAGGAGGGGTGGGGGACAGGGGGGAGATCAAGCGGAAGGGGACTTCCCCCCCTGGAGCCCCGGGGTGGGGGGAGGGAGCCATTCTGCCGGGGCCAGCAGCGTCTCCTCTCTCTGACCCTCTGCGCGCAGGGACAGGCGGGGACTACCTGTTCGACATGCGCACGGGCGCCTGGCGCTGGCTCTGAGCCACGGAGCTGCCTCACGGCTGCGTGGGAATCTCTGCACGTGGCCCTGGGCTGCGCTTCCAAGTTGATTCAATAATAAACAAAATTACCAACAGCAGAGTCCCAGCCTTGTCACCCACCGTGGGAGGAGGGCTGAGGCCTGTGCCTCCTTGTTCTCCGTGGACGGGCGGAGGAAGGTGCGTTTGGGGAGGCGATGTCCCGGCCGCGATGGCCCGATTAGCGCTCTGTCCTGCGGGCACGGGGGCGTTCCCTCCGCAGAGGGGGGCGCACTGGGGCAGCTTGCCCGCGTGGGGGAGGCTCTCCCGGGAGGGATCGGAGCTTCTGCACCGAGAAGGGGGCTGGTACAGAGCAGAGAACAGGGCCTGGATGGCTGTGGAGGGGTCGCCAGCCCTCTTCTGAGGGGTGTTTCCCATTTAAAAAAATATATATATATTTTATTGATTTTTAAAAAAATATATATTTTATTAATTTCTTACAAAGAGGAAGGGAGAGGGATAGAGAGTCAGAAACATCGATGAAAGAGAAACATCGATCAGCCGCCTCCTGCACACCTCCTTCTGGGGATGTGCCTGCAACCAAGGTACATGCCCTTGATGGGAATCGAACCTGGGACCCCTTCCGTCTGCAGGCTGACGCTCTATCCACTGAGCCAAACCGGTTGGGGCTGGTTTCCATTTTTTCTGATGTTTCCTCTGCTCCTTGGCCCTCAGCCCTCCGTGTACTGAGCTGGGCTGCCGCACATGGCCAGGAGCCGCAGCACCCTGTGGGAGGGCTGCCCACTTCCCGCACAGCCGGCATCAGGTGCCAGGAGACTCCACAAGGCTCTGCTGTTTGGTGGGGCTCTCCGCCCTGTGCCCCCACACTCCCTCAGTCTCCTCCCCTGTGCCAAGTCTGCAGACTGGCATCCTCTCTGGGGCTGGAAGACCTCCTTCCTGAGCCAGTTCCGATGCCCCAGGGCGGGGGGGGGCTTGGGGTGGAGTTCCGATGCCCCAGGGCGGGGGGGGGGAGCTTGGGGTGGAAGCCGAGGTGCTCCCATTAAAGTGAGGGAGCTGGAGCTGGCCTGGGAGCAGAAGGAGAGCCCGGCGCTGAGGGCTCGTTAAGTCTTCATCTCTAGAGCCCGGCGGGCATCCTCGGGTACAGATGGCGCAGCGGGGCCTAAAGCCACGCGCTGGCTGGGCAGGGCACTTGCTGTGCTGTGCTGTGACGGCGTGACGGCGTGACGGCAGCTGGCCCCTGGCCCCAAGCCGAGCCCAGGCCTCGCACTGGCCTCGGGGCCATCCTGACTTCCCGGAGCTCAGGACCAGATGCTCCAGGGCAGCAAGAGGGAGGCCCACCGGGGCCAGGGCTGTGCGGCGACCTGAGCTCTAGGCGGGAGGGCGACGAGGGCGCGGGCACTGCCGCTGGGAAGGCCGCTGGGAAGGCGTGACCTTGACCCGCTTCCCCCTGCACCTCAGTTTCCTCGCCAGTGAATGGGGACAGCAGCGCCTCCCTTGCCGGGTGCGCGGCCGCGGAGAGCAAACAGCACCGGCGGACATTTCCCAGGCCCAGCGCCGCGTGGCGCAGGGAGAGCGGCCGGGCCGGCCCCGGGGCCGGGGACGCAGAGACGCCAAGGGCGCCACGGCCTCGGAGTCACCCGCAACCGCTCCGCCGCCAGCACCCGGGAACCGCACGCATGCGCCCCCCGTGCCGTCACAGTCACGTGCCGCAGCGTTCGGCTCCGGCCTCGGGAGGCTGGCTCTGATTGACAGGCGGGCTGGCCTGTCAGCGGGGAGCACTCCCCGGGTGTCGGGCGAAGGGGTTGCTCATTGGGCACAGTCTCGGCCGGGGCGGGTTCTTTGCCGCCCTGGTTACTATGACGCCCGGCCCCCGCCCCCTCGGCTGGCCGCCATCTTGTTGTTGATCCTACCCAGTGGGCAGCGCCGGGAGCTGGACCGAGCGGCCGGTGCGGGCCGCTGCTGCGGGGCTCAGCCGCCTGCGCTGCCTGCCGGGGGCGGGCAGAGAGCTGGAGGCCCGGGGGGCCCAGCTCCCGCGGGGAGCCGCGGGCGCCCGCTGCCCGGGCCGGGCCGGTGAGTGACAGGACGCGGGCGGAGGGGCCGGCCTCGGGCCGCGGGGCGGGCCGCGGGCGCGGGTGGGATCGGGCGCGCGCGGGGCTGGATGTCGCCCGGCATCTCCTGAGCGCCCGCCGGCGCCCGGGGCCCCGGTGCTGCGCCGGCCTGGGGCCGCCTCGGGGTGCAGGGCCCCGCGCTCGGGGCGGCCGCGGGGAGCGGGAAGCGGCGTCCGCGCGGAGCCGCAGCGCGGACCCTGCCCGCTGCCTCCGGGCGCGGGGCGCTGCGGGCGGGAACCCCTTCCCCGGCTTCACGCCGCTCCCGCGCGGGGTTTGCAGGCGGCTGGAGGCTCGGCCCCGCGCGCCGGGCAGGCCGGTCCGCGGCTCTGCGGGTCCGGGAGGGCGCAGGCCCGCGCCGCCGCCCCCGCCTCCCGGGCTCCGCGCTCAGGGGCCCGGTGCCGGCTGCGGGGGGCCCGGCGCCCCGGCCTCTCGCTCCCGGAGGCCGCCCAGGGGCCCGGTGCACGGCGCCCGGCCTCTCGCTCCCGCGGGCAGAGGCGGCCGCAGCCGGGCTCGCTTCACCGGCGAGAGGGACCGCGCGGGGCGATGGGCCCGGAGCCGGAGGAGGCGTCGGATCAGAAAAGGATGCCGCTGTCCTGTGATCCGGTCGTTGCGCGCGGTCTGGGGTTGCCAGATTACTTTTAACCGGCCGCTGTGTCCTCCGGGGAAGCCGGCCCGCAGGCCCTCTGCCCCGAGGTGGGAGGCGGGCGACCGGGCCGGGGCGCGGGAGGTGCCGGGGCGGGAGCACCCTCCTCCCTCCCGGCGGCTCCCGGCCTCCCGCTCAGGCCCCTGCATGTGGCACGGCCGCCGCGAAGCCAGGAGCAATCCTCCGAGCCCCGGGGTCAGGCCCTTGTCACCGTCGGTGTAATTGGTGGGAACCCTCTCCTGTCCAGAGAGCCTCACCTGGGGACGGTGGGGGGTTGAGTAGTCTCTTTTTTAATTCATTACCTTCCCTCCGCTCATTGTTTGAATGTTGAATGAGTTTTGACCTTGGTGAGACCAGCTCCTTGGGCAGTTCTTTTTTTTTTTTTTTTTAACTACACACACACACACACACACACACAACACACACACACACACTCTGGTTTTCCAGAGGAAGGGAGAGAGAGAGAAACATCAATGATGAAAGAGACTGTTTGGTCGGCTGCCTTGGGCATTTCCTGATAGGAAAGGAAGAGATACTAAACTATTAGAAGCTTCTCAGTATTGTCCCAAGCTAACCAACTCCCCTCCTCTGATGCTGTAAGGCAGCCAAGAGTTGAGTGACTGCTGTTTTCTGTTAAAATAACCCAAGTGAGGCTCAGAGCCTGTGAGGGTCTTTCTGAGACATGGCAAGTGACAGACACTCCGCTTAGTGAGTTTTCAGCACTAACTTTTGCATGTAATTTTAGGGGTTCGAAGGCTATTTATTTATTTATTTTATTTTTTACACATATTTTTTATTGATTTTTTTACAGAGACGAAGAGAGAGGGACAGAGAGTTAGAAACATCGATGTGAGAGAAACATCGATCAGCTGCCTCCTGCACACCCCCTACTAGGGATGTGCCCGCAACCAAGGTACATGCCCCTGACCGGAATTGAACCTGGGACCTTTCAGTCCGCAGGCCGACGCTCTATCCACTGAGCCAAACCGGTTTTGGCTCGAGGACTCTTTAAGTTCCATCGATGGTGTAACCCTATTTAGAACTGCTGCCCCAAGGAAATCATAGAATCCCCCAGAACTTTTACTGCCTGTAAGGCAGGCCCTCTGTCCCATGAAGCTCCTTTGTCTTCCGGTCACTCACCAGGAAATGTCACCACTTGTAACTGAGCTCAGACACTGCGCCCGGAGGTGCTGTCTGAAGCGGGAGACGCTGCCGGGGTTCGGGGACCATCCTGACTCAGGGTGCTCAGGGCGCTGCTGCCTCCGCCCCCCTCAGGGCTGAGCGGCCTAATCGCTAATCGCACGGTTTACCAGACATTCACACACGCTAGTGATTTCTCTGCACGGTCACCTGCTGGACCTGCAGGCCTGCGCCCTCTGGGTGCCCTGTTCCTTCAGCTCACGGCTCTTCCCGGGTGCCCAGCTCAGGGCTCTTCCCGGGTGCCCAGCTCACGGCTCTCCCCGGGTGCCCAGCTCACAGCTCTCCCCGGGTGCCCAGCTCACGGCTCTCCCCAGGTGCCCAGCTCACGGCTCTCCCCGGGTGCCCAGCTCACGGCTCTCCCCGGGTGCCCAGCTCAGGGCTTCCTGCCTCTGGAACATTCCGCATGTGTCCAGCCCCGGGGACGCCGCTCCCTCCGAACCCAGTGGCCGTGCCCTGTGCGAACAGAATGGGTCTGCTCCTTTAAAAGTAGTTTTCTGTTTCCTCTGACGAGTCTTAACCCCCTTACTACAGAGACGGGGTTCTTGTGTCTCTGTGCACTGCACGTAGAAGAAGATGACCAACTATTTACGAAAACGTGCGCAATTTATCCCAGTTGGGAATATCCTTCGTAATTCAACAGAACGGAGGGGACCAGCAAGCGCAAGTGCGGGCTTGGGGACCTGCTTGACATGGGGACGGACTCTGGCGGCGATGGGTGTCCTCTGTCGAGGACGCATCGCAGGAGCGGCCGTGGCGCGCCCCTCCTGAGGGGCTGTGAGCAGGGCACTGGCTGCTGCGAATGAGCGCGTCAAATGAACGTGTCAACGTCTTGGCTGCTGGCTCTCCCCTGCTGCCCTGAGCCCAGGGCCGGTGGTGGCAGGGGAAGCTGCGCAGGGTGCTGCCTTGTGTGGGACGAGGGAGCTTGTCCCCGGGGGTCTACGCCCTTGCCCTGATTTTATGTCATCCATGGCTCCCCTGACGGCAGCAGGGTGCCAGCAGTGGATTCTGAGTGAGAGGACTAAGCCTTGGTTTTCTGTGAAAGGTGATCGGGAC